GAGACAGGGAGGTTGCGTGCAAGCACACAGTCTCCCTGCCAGCTCTGCTACAGAAAGAGTAGCTATTAGCAGAGAAGACAGCTCCTACTGTCTTAAAATGTCATCCCAAACCATTGTTCAGCAGAACTATCAAGGCTATGCAAAGTTATGACATCGGTATTAGACGCTAAACAGAAAGCCTTTTCTTTCACTATCCCCACAAGGGCTAACTTAGAGCTTCAACATTGCAAAATTTTACTCAGTTGAAACTGCCAGTGTTTAATACTTAGGAAATTGAATATTCCATTAAAGAGGGTTTTTGCACATTATTTAGATACAGGTTAAGTTATCAACCCCCTGTGAAAAAAAAATAAGCATAAAATTGTCATCATGGAATGTACACTTTAAACTGCAGTTTAAATACATACACTGGAAGGACAGAAAATAACAACATTATTCATTCACACCACTTAGATTTTACGCAGCATTGTCCTAGATGGCCTGACAATGTAATGAATACAAAGTATTTTCATGCACAATCAGATCATACATTTTATCTAAAGGAAGTCTGTTTTGAGCAAAGATGAAGAAATGCTTCATAGTATACCGAGGAGTTGAATGAGGTCAGGCTTTCCTTTGAGAGAAAGGATGGAAGAAATTAATAGGAAAAAATGGCAAAACATCAAAAACCATGAGCATGCGTCGAAGGCAAACTACACGAGAATGTCAAGAAAAAAAAAACCAGGACTTTGGATCGTAAAAAAACTAAATATGGATTATATACTTATCCATAGAAACCTGCTATACACATAAGAACAAAGAAATAAGAGGCAGAAATGGATGCAAAAATGAAATCTCACAAAAATAGTTGGTCAAATTTTAAGCAACTCTATAAAGGAGGGTTGACAAGTTGAATGTCAGTCTCATGGGAAAAGGTCATTCACAGGGCATGCAATAAAGCAAAGACAAAAGGCAGGAAACATGTAAGCACCAGAGGTGTTTGTGGACCATGAAGCTGGCTGAAGCATAATATGACAAGCTGGTAGTACTCAGCACTGGATTCTGCAGATACAGCCTACAAACAGGTGACAACATTGTAGGGCAGAGAAACTTGTTCAGAGTAAGGGAATTTGAAAGTAATGGATTTTTCAAATGTTCCTGTCAACGAAAATCAGATTACAACATTCAGTTGAAAATGCAGAAAAAGATTGACAAATATTAAATACTACTGAGAAGACTGGACAACATCAGGCACATGTAAAAGAGAAATACGATGCCAATTTTCTTGCATTGTGTGCAAGAATCTGGTGATGGTGGTATTCTAAAAACGAGTGAATTAATAATACTTTGGCTGTTAAAGCCTGTACATCCTTCAGAAAACAACAGGGAACCAGTTCACTTCTCTTTCCCTTTCTCCCTGAGAACTGGAAAGCTCCTGCTAAAGCATGTGCTTAAAATGATGATTAATATAATAAAGCCATGTGTGTTGGAACTGTATAATGGTGGTGCTGGTGGAAACACAGTGCTCACTGTACCCCTCTGCCTTGTGCCCAGCAGCTCCTCAGCATTTTGAATGCTACCGTGACAGCACAGTTTCATCTCTTCAAATGTTTACTGTCAGCTACCATTTTGGCATACTGACAACATTATTACATAAGGAATAAGTGAAAAAAGCAGATTATTTTATGGAATACAATCATTCTTCCTAATCTAATCTCAAGGGGTTGCTATAAGCAACAGTTGCAAAGTACTTTAAAAATGAAGCTTTAAAACAGTTTTTGTTGTATGATAACAACATAGGAATGTCATAATCTTTCTGCATGTTGAAGTTACTTAAAAGCAGAGAGGACTCAAGTCTTCCGTAGAGCAGCTTTAAAAAGTAAAATGCAACCAGATTCAATGTTCAGAAATGTCTGTGGATGGAATAAGATTACAGTTATGAACTTCTGGTTCCTGACAAAACTGTAAGAGCAAAGAAAAAAGGCCTAGTACCTTCATGGATAGTTCAAGGGAAAACAGGGTGCAATGTGTACTGGCAGTTGCAGACAAGTACGTGAGTATTAGGTTGCAAAAGGCAAATGAAAGAAAACTAAAATTCCATTAATTTAAAGTAATAGTTCACTATCATCTGGAATAATGCATTCAACTCTGGTCGTTGCAGGTCAAAAAAATTCAGAAAACAAAGTATTCAGAGAAAAAGGAGGAGATTTAAGACATGGAAGGGTTTGGCATCCAGAAAGATTGAACAGACTTGGAACGGTTAGTTTAGAGGAGAGATGAGTGAGGGTGGCATGCAAAATAGACGGTGGCAGTATAAATTTTGAACTGGAATGTATTTTCCCTCCCTCTATAAAGACAAAGGAAAATAAATGAAATTTTAAAAGACTGTAATTTAAACTGGAAGATCTTGAACATAAGCCCCTCCTCCAAAATTTATTACCTTAATAACAGGAAGATTAAGAACACAGTAGGGTTTAAAGCAGATTAGATGTCTCAAAGGAAAACATTTTTTCCTGAAAACTATGCAAATTTTCAAGTTTCAGAAAAAGAGCTGCAAGACACATTGGGAGCAAGAAAAGTATTTGTCCTATTGGTGTTTTACTGCTGAAGTTGTATATTGCTGTTTCAAAAACATTCTTCAGGGACTACTGGTGCAGGCCACTGGCCAGGGTGGAGTGCTGGTTTGATCCAGTCTCTTCGTTTCTTTGGGAGCGATGACCCTTAAAATAAAGATTTAGGAACACCCTTGCAATCTCTAGTACTGAATGTATCAAGGAAGTATAGGTATTAACAGTATGTTCCCCCACTAAACTACCCAGGTCTAGGAGACAGTGATGCAAAAGTCAGTCTTCAGTGTCTGTAATCACCATTCAGTGGTTAGCTCCAGCGGTTAGCAGCAGAAGTACAGTGGAAAATGTTTGAGACATACTCCCTACTTCTTTCTTGAAATACTTTTCCTCCTTCTCTGTGCACACAGATGCACATATGCAAGTAAAAAAGCCAGTATACAATTCACTAATTAATTAAAAGAGACTGCAGCCTTCCCAGGCACTGTGCATGGATTTTCTGAAGTAGTCACTTTATTTGCAAGCAGAGGGATTTTTCTGAGAGCAGTGAAAGGTAGAAGTATTTGCACTATATGCCTGAATGACTGAACTGGGTCAGGTAGGATCAGACAGGTCGGTCTTAACATCAGTAATAATGAACTAGCAGACATGATTATTATTCATGTCCTAAGAAGAAACCATGGTACTTCTAATTCTGTGAAGTTTAAAAATACAGGTCAAATATCAACAAGTCATGAGATTGCCTTAAAATTTATAAATTCTACTTTACCTTTTAATATCTCATTGTGGAAGCCTGTTTTCAAACTTTCAAGAAGATCTCATGTACAACAGGATGTATGGTCAGGGAACCTCTTTCACTTCAGATATCTGTTCCTCTCACCTTCCTTATCCAAAATTCTTATCATCTTACATCATCAAGGTGCCCACAAGCTTTTTATTCTGAATACTCTCTCCAACTCATTTACTTCTAGCCAGACGCTCCTTACCAAGTTGCTAGCACAGCTACTTTCCCATTATTTCCCTAAAGGGAACTCCCAGCTTCCCTTCCAAAACACTGCCTTCACCACCCCCAGAATAGAAAGATGCTCATGCTACAAAGTCCCTGCCCATCTTGTCAGCAAGCTCAGTTTTGGCTTTTGTTCCTCCCCTGCACAGAAGACAACACAGCAGTAACTTTTGCCCACACAACCTCTCAGCCACATTGCTCTTGAAGCCTGCAGGCCCTATAGCACCTTTGCTACAACTCTGCTCTACAGTCAGGACATGGTTGTACTTTTTGTAAATGTTTCTGCAGTGTATGATATGTCACACAACCTTATCGGCATGCATGCTCTTCCACCCATGGGTACATGGTATTAACATGATGACTATACCACAGATCCCTTTCAATCACCTTATTTTTGCTTTGTCAGATAACCCTCTGAGGATACAACTTTAGCAGAATACTTATTATGGGTGATACAGGCTGCTGATCTTTCATGCAAAGATACATTTCTCTAATAGGGTCTGTTGAATAAAGTGATTGAAAGTGAATGTCATGGCTTAACCCCAGTAAACTAAAATGCAGTAGATCTGAACAGCTCAGCCCCACACAGCCACCTGCTCACTGTCCCGACGATGGGATGGGGGAGAGAATCAGAAGGCTAAAAGTGAGAAAACTCATGGGTTGAGATAAAGACAGTTTAATAAGTAAAGCAAAAGCTGTGTGTGCTAACAAAGCAAAATAAGAAATTCCTTCACCACTTCCCATTGACAGGCAGGTGTTCAGCCACCTCCAGGAAAGCAGGGCTCCCTCACATGTAATGGTTACTTGGGAAGACAAAATGCCATCACTCCAAAACCTTCCCCCACTTTGTCCTGCTTCCCCCAGCTTTATATGCTGAGAATGATGTCATACAGTCTGGGATATCCCTTTGGTCAGTTGGGGTCAGCTGTCCCAGCTGTGTCCCCTCCTAATTTCTTGTGCACCCCCAGCCTACTCGCTGGGGTGAGAAGCAGAAAAGGCCTTGACTCTGTGTAAGCATGGCTCAGCAGTAACTAAACCAGTGTGTTACTAACACTTTTCAGCACAAATCCAAAACACAGTCCCATACTAGCTACTATGCAGAAAATTAACCCAGCCAAAACTAGCACAGCAAGCAACCCTGAAGGCAACAGGGTTTATAGCATGCAGTGAAAAGCCACACACTTGCAGAAAAGTAAGTACTCCTGAACTCTTTTAAAACCAACTCAGAATACAGTTTTAACTATGGATTGTGAGTAGTACATACAAAATTAACTCATTAGAGAACATAAAGGCCTCAAATATTTTCATATACCTTCATATTCCTTTCATATTTGAATTTGAATGTGTATTCCAAAATTTCTACCCTATATAATGCATGAATAACAAATTGAATACTTAGGAGAAAACTGTTCTCTGCAAGTTCATCAAAAAGAAGTCGGATTACGCACATTTCAGTAATGGTTTCTGGAAGGTTTGTTGGGATTTCAGTGAGGCCTTTCCCACGACAGTCCACAATGTTGTTACTACAGGTGCATGCTGTAGGGCAATGCAAGACACTGCAGGATGGGGCCATGAAGGATTGGTGACCTGCAAAGGAAAAGAGTTTCTCCTAAAATTGCACTAAACTGTCAAACAGTAGTCCCATTTACCTCAAAACATCACATTTTACACTCTTGGAAAAATTTAGAGGCAGAACTTCTAAATTAAACATTGTAGCCTATCAATACTTTTGGATTGCATCAATTTAAATACCCAGTTAACAGTGTGCTATAGTTAAACTACTGTGCTAGCATTACATCATTTTTCAACTTCTTTGGCAACTTGCATTCAAAATCATCTTGTTAATGAAGACTAAGTGAGATCCGTTTTTCAGGTATATTTTATTTATTCTGTGCTTTTAAAAACTAATTACTGATTTAGTTTTCAGAATTTTGTGTAGCACTAAAAATGAATGTCAACAGAAATGAATGACCCTTGCTACAAAAACTGAAGGTGTCCTGCTAGTTATGTTCTGTTCTGAAAATCCTTCAGTTATATATTGCTTACAGATGATTTTGGAGTTATGTTGTTTTCGTTCAGTCACACAAAGATAAATAAAGGCTTTGATTTCACAGCTCATACTCTCGGTCTCTGTTAGCTCAGCAGACCACTTCCTTCCCACAGTCTACCATTCTTTCTAACTCAGGTGGCCAATTTACACAACTTTCACCGACCTTCACTCCATTCTTGTACCGTATGTTAAACTCAACATTTATAACTGCATTTAAACATAATCACTTCATATTTAGGTACGTTATAAAAAGTAAACAACTGATTATATTTTCCTGCAAATAGACAGATTGAACATTTTATAATATATTAATGCACTCATTCTTGTATTGATTTAATGATACACAGAATTGTTGTTCTGTAATGATACAGAAAGGAACAAAGGGATGAGAAATGCAAGAAGCCCTCTTTTTCTTTCTTTTTTTATTAAGGTAAAAAAAGCTAGAGACTGTTTTGAAATTCTCAGGGAAAAAAAAAAAAAACAACCTTAACTATGAAACCACTTAATATAAGATCTCTCTCACTATATTTACTGTCATATATTAACATAGGAAGGGTACCTTGGTAATGTAAGTTGTAGTCAGTGCTGTTCCTATTTACAACTTCAAACAACAACATCTCAAGTCTTAAATTACTGAAAAGGTTAGTCTTCTGAGATAGTAGTTTACAATATAATAATCTGATTTCACATTTATGTATGTGGTACAAAAGTACAAACAGCTGCCAAAACTAATAACATATACTACTCTTTTTATACTAACAGGCAGGATGTATTTCACCTGACTTTATTAAGCAAAAATACAGCGATCCAGGGAGAAAACATGGTTATTCTCTTTCCTCAAAATTAGCATTATAATGAGCAAGTTATAAAACTGTTCTTGAAACTTGGGCTCTGCAGCCATACCATTTATAAATAAGATTAGTGAAGTGATCTTGTCAGGAGCCTTTTTAGGTGTACATAAAGGCAGACTTAATGGCAAGAATAATGTTAGCATTTGCCAGGTGAAGATGGCAGTACCTTAAACTTTGATGTCAGAGGCTGTTTAATAAGGACAAAACATTGTGCTCTCCATAAAATTCTTTTAAAAGCATAGATCTGTGCAAATTTTGGCATATTTGGCAATAGGTTTCTGGAGGTCTGCAGAAAATCAACCAGTAGAAACAACCCTGATGAAAAGACAGATAGCTATATTCCAGCTTCTTTTTAATGTTTTTGAGGTAAATTGAAACAGTAAAAGTTTTCAGAAAATTTTCAGTCTGAGTCTAAAAATATTTACATAAGAAAGATAAACTTGCCTTCTTCCTCATCTAGGAGATATGAATAAAGGAAAAAAAATTGAATAGAGAAAATGTGATTAGTCACAAACTGTTAGTCATTTCATTTCATATCAGAAAATAACGTGATGCACTAAGGCATACCAATTACATTCAGAAAGTTACTTAGGGATTCAGAATATTTATTTAAACTGAGAAAATAACAACAAGAAAAAGCAACAACCAGTAAAAGTTAAAAGAGAGTAATTCCTTATTACTAAAGGCTTATGTTCTCAGTCAGTGCACCTTTTATTTCATTTTCTGCACCTCTCCCTCATAATTATACTTTTAGAAAGCCAAATAATCTATGTGAATGCAGCATTTTCACAAAATTTCTAAGGACAGAAGCACCCCCACACAAGATACAAATAGTGATAAAAATGATTAATTTAATATTTAATAAACATTAATGCTTGCATTATGCAAAAGTTGGCAAAAGCCAACATGCAGTACTAGCATCCACCAGTGTGCTGTCAGTAGGTGTATTTTTAAACAGGACTCTGTGAACAAATCTGTTTCCCTTACCACTGCAGACAAACTCCCGTTTCTGGACCTCGGCTACGTTGTGCCCCCGGAGGTGGGATGGCCCCATGCACTGCGTGTAGAGGCCGACGCGCGGCCGCTGCCGCAGCCAGTCAGACAGCCAGGCCAGGTGGCAATCACAGTAGAGGTTGTTGGAGTGAAGACGACTGCATGGAAGGAATCACGTCAATAAATTAGGAAGAACAAACAGAAAATTCCAAACCCCCCCCTTCAGCAAGAAGCTATGATGATTTATTAATAAATATCGTTAATGAGGAATCTAGGTTTTGTATCTTTCATTGAAAGTCTGGGAGTTAAATCCTAATAAATCAAAATATACTATGAGGAAAACTACATTTTATTTGTTGTCTAATTAATTGGAAGGAAAAAAAGGCTTCCTAATAACGTAACCTATCTGTACTTTCTTTTCTCTTGTCTGAAAGAAAGAAATAAATATACAAGAGCTTGAAAGCTGCCATGGGACTCATTAGTCCAGATCTCTACAAATAGTGAGTAAGACAAAAATGTCTCAAGTAAATTGCTCTACAGTGATAATATACTGTCAGAAAAAAAGAGTTAATAAAAGATTTGGTTTCCAATTAGATATATCTGTAAGTCTGGCCATTATTAGTCTCTATAGAAACAGCCTGCAAAATCCCTTTAACAGGTCATATTCATTTTCTGTTGAACAAGACAGAGTAATAACTCAATATAAAACACCCTTTTCCACATCCTTTTTCTGATTTCCTCTCTTTTTGTTTAATCACAGAAAGGGGGATTAGCTGCTTTTGGCTCCTAGGGATCTATGTTCTAAACAATGTCTGAAATTAAAAGACCAAATGGCAGCAAGCGATGGAATTAAGTAAGTCGCCTCTCTGTTGGCAGGGTCCAACACAAGACCATGGCTCCTTGCCAAGTGGCAAAAAGCACTTTGCCATTGATAAAATATCAGGCAAATATATTCACTAAATTAAGTAAATTACTTTTCTCTGGCTCTTACATTTTCTCAAACTACAGAAAAGGATGTCCATAGCTATAAATCAAATCCTTACTCAGAATCATCCAGAACTGAGTAATGTCATTTTGGTCCTTTTTAGCTGATGTGCTCAATATTAACTAACTGGAAAGGAAGTGCAAGAAAATCAGAATTTAGACAAGATGTCTCATTAATCCATTTAAAAAAAAAATAAAATCTGTTAAGCAACATGAAATGTGTAACCAACATAAACAAAAGATTTCCACTAACTCATTTTTTTCTTCCCCATAAATGACTAGAAATCAAAGGCAACATATTTCCCTGTACTAATTCTTGGGTGGATGCTTTGCAAATATAACTCACAACACAGCACACTCATTCAGTACAATCTGTGGCCAGCTGTAGGCAAGAACACCATTGCAAATCAGAACTAATGCCGTTGAAATCAATATGGTTATACAAGCGTATTCTGACTGCAAATGGGATGTTACAGCTATAATCTAGGACTCTGTGAGTCCATTTTCTTTTGTTTCTAAAATAATTTTTTAAAAGTTAAATTACCCCACTGGAAACATGAATGTTGCTAATTTGATTCACTGTAATTTTTGGTTCAGAATATAAACTGTGTTTGAGAGGGGTACAGACATCCATGTTTTCAAGTCTCAGACCCAAAAGAATGGAATGAAATTCCATTCTCAAAATGTAACTGAGGCCACCAAAAGCCCATGATCAGCACTTTTTACATGCTCTTATACTTGTCCAAGCAAGAATAATTACTATTCTGTTATGAAATCAACAGAACTACTCACCTGTGTGAAGTTTCTTGAGTTACAAAAGGTATGTTAACTCAAGTGAATAGCCCTAGTGATTTTAAAACAGTTGTACAACCCAACATGCGTAAAAGAAAAATGACAGGTTCTTTGTAAAAGTAGTTCTTTAACAGTAAGACCTACTGTTGAAGTCTGATAGAAGCATCCCATTCATTTTTTAATCCCATTTTACTGGAAAATCTGTTAGAAAGAGAGTCTCAGGGCCTCAGGACATTGATACCTTGATGTACTTTGGTTTTGCCACTGAACATAATATACATTTATTCTCGGTTCAGTATAAACATACAAAAGAAATATTCCCAAACTGTGTCGCTTGCATATAGTCTTTTCACTATGTTTTGTTTTAGAAGCCCAAAGTGTTCTGTGAAAGTCATAACCTCTAAAAATGGGGACCTTATTGTAAATGCTGACACAACTTTAATTATAATAGCACTACCGGATGATGCTATAATTTTATGTTACAAAGAATGTTGGAAAGCCAGTTTAGTTTAATTAGGTCTGCTAGCAGTACAGTAATAAAAGCATAAAGATTTCCCATTTATCACATCTGACAGCCAATCAAAGATTCTTCCACATTCCTAAATGAAATGTGACCCATTCAATAGCTCAAAGTAAAACAAATTTTTGACTTTCAAAACCCATCAATTTCTTTCTCTATACAGCTGTAACATATAAAAGAGAATCCCCCCTGCCTTCATCTTTTTTATTAAAAGGTAAAGCTCTTCTGTGACTGAATAAAGCATTATGAAAAACTCAGCTGAGAAAAGGCCATGAAACCATTTTCATCCCACATCCTAAAAAAAGCTGATGGAAAAGGATACAACTGCTTCTCTATGTCCTGAGTCCCAGTATCAGCCTTGGGGTCACTTGTTAGCTCTACCTTACAGAATTAGGTGCCATACACGCACAGACTTCACACTTGTCAGCTTCAATACTTTTTTAATTGAGCTTATGCTTTCTTTGCCTGTACACATATTTATAGACCACTGACAAAATTTGATAGAGGTAAAAATGATATACTGGACTGATAAAAATGGCAGCCAGTTTCACTGGGACTACTTACAATGTTCTGAGTTTGGGCATGTGGTTGAAACTTGCCACAGACAGTCGAGTGATGTTGTTATTGTTGAGAGTGCTGCAAAGTCAAGAAGAAGCATATTAACATATTAGAGCCACGTCACGTTTATTACACTTTTGAAAAAGACTTAGCTAATAAAGATCATGGTGTACTCTTTTTAGGGATGGGTATCGGGAAAAAAAACAGGCTTTTAGATATACTTTTCCTCCCTGTTCAATTCCTGATAAAACACCATTCCACTAATAATCCTAAGTAATTTGAGGTCCCAGTAACCTGTGATTCAGTCAAACAGACATTCCACCAATGTTGAGAAGATCTATGGCATTCAAGCTAAGCTTGTAATTCTGATGTAAAGAGAGTTCTTGGAGAAAAAGCCTTGATTCTAGGACTCTAGTTTCTCTTTCTAGCTTCCAAGAGTCTGTATTTTCTGTAAAAAAATACAAGATCTGCCTGTTTTTTCAAGAATATTAGGAAAATATTAACTCTGGGTTGCAATTAGGTTTAATATGGAACAGAGTTGCTATAGATGATCCAGAGCTGCATGAACAATAAGAGTTTCTGTTATACAAGGGAAGGAGTCAGGAATTCTAATACTTTAGCAAACTAATAATTTAAATTTTAGACAAGGTGCCTGGAATTTGAGATAGGAACTAGGAACAAATCTTAGCCAATTGTTGGCTAGCACAGACCCATCATACTCTGTAAGTGTAGTTTGTAAAGATAACAAAACTTATGAACAATCCTGGGGTTAAATATTGTCTTCAGGCTGCAAATCAAATGCAAACAAGCTTGACTCTGGAATAAGGAAATAAGCAATAGAATTTACAGTTTTGCCTCAGAGATTACTCATTTGAGCAGAATAATGTGCTCTGGGATTTTAAACATATGGTTATGGCACTAATAAATAATAGTTCCCACTGACCAAACCTTTTTTCCATTTTGAAATACAATGTTTTACTTTGTCCTTTTTTCTTTTAAAAAAAAAAAAAAAAAAAATTGTGCTCATTTTGAATAAATTTTTAAGTACTCTCTGATCCTGAAACACAGAAAGGTAAATTCACAGCACTCCAAACAGAATCAGGCTATACACCTCTGCATTAACCAAGCGATTAATTACTGGTGCAATGTGCTGTATTTTACCTTTGTGTGCTTACTCATTCGACATCCTAAGTGTTTTCTTCACTGTGCACAAGGGATCTCCCCTGTGTGCTCTTAGGGCTACATAAACAAAGAGGAGCATAATCAAAAGAAGAAGAAAAAGGGTAAATCATGCCCTTTTTCAAAACAGAACAAAAATGAAACAACAAAAAATGGCCAAGTGGGTATATCTGCAAAAGGTGTCTTAAAGAATAAATGACAATAAGTAAATCTTGCCAGGATTTTCTTACAATGTCCACATGGTAAATTACAGTTCCCATAGTTCTTCCTGCATAACTTCTTAAAAGGTTTTAAAATCATATTTTTTCAATGAAGTAAATGGAAATCAGTACCTATTTGTATAGCTGTTAGTTGTTTAAATAAGGTGTATCCACAAATGTTTTAATTTTTAATTTCAGATGTCTGATGTTTGCTTTGACATTTTGTATATATGAGCTTTTAATTTATTTTTGCAAGGGTAGAGAAAAGTATCAGGAGTAGATATAAGGCATACATAAATAATTAAATAATTTTTGTAACTATTTCTATCTAACGATGAAAACATTTTATTTCATTAAAGAGATGTAATTAAAAAAAAAAGTTGTCTCAATACTTTTACCTAAGTGTTACATACTATTGAAAAAAGTGGGATGACTGAAAGACATTTATTTCATTTCTCAGATAATTTTTTTTTTAATGACAGCACTATATATTTTCCTATAGTTTGATTCCCCAGTACAGCAGATTTTCTCTTAAAAAAAAAAAAAAAAAAAGAGAAAAAAGAAAAATTAAATTTCACAGAAATTCACATGGTGGGTTGTAACTGTAATTACTTTTGTGTTTCAGATTTGTCCAGATTTCAGGTCGATTTTGTATCTTTAACACTAATAGGCTCTAAGATTGTGCAATTATTTAACCAATATATAAGAGCAGTTACTTTGGTAAACATTCAAACTGTCAGTAAACAGGACAGCAGCCTATTTAAAAGCTTCATCACATACTTGTAGTTTGAAGTAATATACACATTTTGTGCTTAGGTAGAATAATTAACTCCAAATGAAAACAAAATATGTAGTCTTATTTGCTACTCAGTGCATATACAATATGGTCTGATCTACATATCTTTCATTCTTTAAGCCATATTCGAAAGGAAGGTGAATTAGATACAAAATCTTCACTAATGTTTGAAATACCTCTCTCAATTTTGGAAAAACTTTATCTTTACATGGTTGCTTCTCACCTAACATAATTAAAGATAGTGAACATTTAGTTGTATCTTTGAACAATGTTTGAACAAATATTCTATGTATATTCATTCACAAAAATTTTAACTATCTACTTTTTCAGCAGACATTTTAACAGGTTTTTTCCTTTTTTGCATTCATTGAAAATAATGTGGAAATTTTACTACTGACTTCAACTTGCAAGGATGACCTTTTTAGAACACATTTAACAATTTCACTTTACAGAAAGGCTTGTATTAACAACCATAATAAGTAGATTAAGCCATCACTGGAAAAGTTGTACAGTCATATGTATGAGTTCCAAAGATAAAAATCTCTCTGAACATCAGGTTTACTGAGAGATAACCAAGAATTCATCAACTTTACTATTAGATGTAATACTGGACCTACACTACATTTTACATGGCTTTGTACCAGAAAGTTAACAATAGGCTTGTTATTCTATGATTACAAAGTTAAAGAAAAAAAAAAATAAAAAATTTCAAATTTAACTGTCAGATTCATTCACTCATAAGACCAACTATTGCTTAATAATAAAAAGCTTTACCCCTGGCAGCTCACATATTCTTTTGTTTCTTGGACATATAGACACTATCACCAGAGAAGCTTCTTTACTTCAGAATCTTAAAAATACCCCACAAAACCCACTACAAAATGCCCCTCTCTTACCTCCCTCAAGTTGTTGTGATTTAGCAAGTGTGATGCAAACTACTATGAACTCACTCACTAATACACAAAGTCTTTCACTTCTCTTAATGTAGAAAGTCAAGAAAAAATGTGGCATTTTGACTGACAGAGCAAATACTTCAGGAATGTTTCCTGTGCCTCAGATTCTTTGAAAACTGAGGCACTTTGCTCGTTACAGTAACTATTTTCAGGTCAGGGGTCACTGATGATAATTTCATTACCTTTAACCTCACTGATGGCCACTTTAAGACAGTGAGAAAAAGTATGCAAGAGAAAGTATTGCAATTCTAACCTTTTCAGTGACATAAAAAAGACATTCTTCTACACATATGCATATGTATGCACATAAAATTTAAAATGTTAGAAAAAAGCAGATTAAGTGGACATGTTAAACATCTTAACACATTAACAGTAGTGTTTGATAGAAAAATGCCTCTTTGGAAAACATCCAGATAGTCAATTATTTAAAGTATATTGTTTATTAAACTAAGTCTGAAAGATCAAATTGATGTCAGAGTATACAACAAAGGCGATCCTGAAAATGTTCAGCACTTCAACAGTGATGGATAACTTACAAAATTAATTGGATTCATTAATAACGCCACCCCCAGTTTAAAAGGAAAAATATTCTTTTTTTACAGTATCTTCCATGTGTGTGTGTGTGTGTTTGTGGTGGTTGTTTTTTGTTTTTGTTTTTTTTTTTTTTAATTTCAATGGCTGTCTTTCAGAGTAAAGGAATATCTCTGCCTTTCCATATCTTTTACCATTATACAGCACATTGCAGTGGATTATTTTAAGACATCTTTTCACAAGACCGTCCTGACACTAGGCTGCAGTTTGCAGATAAGCTTCTACATTAGTACTCCCCAGATACTGAGCTCTTGCTACAAGTAAGAGATACGTGAATACTTACAGCACTTCCAGGTCACGCAGAGCCCTAAATGCCCCATCTTCAATACAGCTGATCTGGTTGTAATCCAGTTGCCTGTTAAACAGATTAGGAAGGTATTTGTAAGGGAGACGAACGTTGGCAATGTTAGGTGCAAAGAAAGCCTCCTGAAGGGCCGTCAGAGCTAGGCCACGCTAACTGAAACCCTCCCGCAAATACGCTTGTACGCTTGAGACTGTCACACAGCATGCTGGCCTGGATGCTGCCACAGAAATCCCTTTTTGTTCTGAACTGTCTGCGCAAAACAGCAGTGCTGGGAAAGCTCCAGTAAATAATAACTGCACCTTATATTAAATGCCAAAGGAATGCAATTTCATTACATCAAGAAAAGCTATCCATTAAAAGCTCTCAGCGTCATCTTGCTGAAACAATTTCATTAAGGTAAAGGACGGTAAATCACTTAATGTCACACGCATCCCCTCGGTGACCTAACAGAATCCATTTATCAGAGCAGCCCAGCTGCATGTTAATTCCACACACCGCGGCAGGGGCCGATGAAAGACACCACTTTTAGGGGTCTGTCTGTCTGTGTGCGTGCACGCCTGGACCTGGTGGGAGGTGCAGGGGTGTGTGTGTGGGATTTAGAATAATTACCTTCTAGAATATTTCTATATGTAGAAACAATAGTGGCCAAAGTATTTACATACTTGGTTACTTATCTCCTTTAATTCTGCTCCAAATGAAACTAGTATTTCGGCTGTAACCTTCATTATTTTATTTTCTAGGCACTTGGTACTCTCTGCAATTATATGCAGATAGGATGTTGTAACGGAGCACTTGAATTCTGGACATAAAACTCAGCAATCCATCCCATACATTATTAATCTTTAAGTATTAAGTTATGAAAAATTTACATTCATTTCGCTGAAGAATAATATTACCTTTTCAATTCAAAACATTGATACAGTACATACTGCCCAATTAAAAAAGTCTGCTGAAATTAACAACCATGCAAATACAAAATCCCAGTTTCTCTGCTGACAAAAGCTTTTCCTATAAATACTGCCAAATGTCATACACACTTCAGGGCATGACTCGCAAAGCAAAGAGGACACAAACTCCACTTTAAACAACCAGAAGATCTTCTCCAAGCTGGTAATTTGTCAGTGTCAGGTAATATATGAGTAAGTATGTGTGAACAATACTAAGAAAATGAACAAAATACAAATGAACTCTGCCCTTCTGTCTTTAATTATATATTAGCTAGCAGGGCTAATGAGGCTTTTAGTAAAGTATTTCCTGTGATTCTTCTGAATCTATGATAACGTTTTACTTTATTAATAAATCATCACACCCACTCTTGTATGTAACGTACCAAGTTCTATGAAGTTCTTCTAGTTTCATGCATATTTTCCTTCTTAATTATTACTACACCAAAATAAAATATTCTTATAACTGTAATAGTGTGTTTCTTTGTACTGAAAGCTAAATGCAAACTATCATTTCTTGAATATGATCTTTAATCATTTTGGTGCAACGTTACAGCACCACTGCTGCAGTGTTGGAATATTTCAGCCTACTTTCTCAGGCTTGTTCAATTTTTACTAATGAATTTCATTTAACAATTAAGTTAATAGCCTTTTTATTTTAAAGAGGTAAAATATATACACAGTACAATTCTCTAACCTCTCGAACAATTTATCAAAGCTATTTAAATTAGTACAATGGCATGAAATGTTACCCTTGACACAATACAAAAGAGAAATTGTTTCCAGACAAATTGGAAAAATCTTTTAATGCCATCAAATTTGCCTAATGCAGTCTGCAGGTTAATGTGTAAAAGGGTGAGCTGTATGTTTGCCCATATCTTATTATCCTTAGCTGTCAATGTATAAATCAGCGCTGACACAGCTTCTTCTAAATCATCCATATTATACACAAAGGAAAATCTTTTAACAGTAGAGAAAGCACTTGAGCAAATCTTGTCCTACACAAACTGAAAGGCAGATTTCTTCCACTAGACTGGAAGCAGTTGTGGTTCACCCGAAAACTTTTGGACTCCTTCCTTTAATGAGTCACCATGACCACTACCTTAGTGAAGGGTGAGTTGTTTTCATTCAAATCTTCTTACCAGAAAGATTACTTTGTTTGCACTGAACTAATTAGCTGGTTTCGGTTTGGGGGAAGGGAATTTTGCAGGTGGGAGAGGAGAAGTATCTCCTAGTTTTATAAAATATTATCTTTGAAAGATACTACTGTCTTTATATAATAGATGATCTTCCATCAGTTACAGCCATGATATAAAAGGATCAGACAAACACAACGAGGAACAATTGGCATGATATATTTTTTTAAAGCAATGAAAGGTACACGATGTTGAAGACTGTGCCTGGCTTGAATAGCAATTCATGGTATTTGTGTTAAGATAAATATATCCACTGCATATATAAACCAAACAGAAAGTTAGACAATATTTCACAACCAGCATATCATTAAGTTATGATGTCTCTAGCAGATATACTGAAGCAGTCTCAATTTTTTTGGATAAGGCTGGTTCCTGATAGCAAGTTGTGAGAGCGCTATGACTTAAGACATAAGCAAGAATACTAAAGAATAAAAGTGTGTACTTCTCTAATTTTATTTTTTATCATTTGTTTTTAGCATAATTACTTTCAAAACAACACATAAAAATCTACAATACTATAATGAAACTGTTTTCACCATTAAATTATTGAGCATAGCAATAATCCTAACTCCATTTTAGAAAGCGCTTTTTTTCCCCCCAAGAGCTTCTTTCCCTCTTTTCAAATTATTAAAACACCCTGAGAACAGAAGTTGATCAAATATGGAGCAGCAACTCTGGCCCATCCTCATCCATCCCCTCACCCCAGTCTCTCTTCATTATCCTCCCCCTCACCCTATCTCCATGTTGGGTCTTTTCTGTGTGGGATCTTTCCCTCCATTTGGAAAGTCACTACTCCTTTCTACTCCCCCTTCCAGAAAGCAGCTGATTACCTTCAGCAGTGCCATTCCTATGAAGCTCACAAAATGCTGAACAACAGCTGTCACATTCAAATTTTTCCGTTGTTGCAGAGAATTAATTAGGTTTTACACCCATATCTTTAGCATCGCCTATGTATTTCATGTACTTACTAATCCACTGCTACTTAAAATGTTGTTTATGTGAGTTCAGCTATAAGAACTTGTAAGAACTAAATAAAAAGCATTTAATTAGTAAGAAAATGTCTGTTTTAAGAGTTGGGTATTTTTATATATTGCTTTTGCTGATACATCTTACATTGCAGAAACATGTTGGTAACATATTTTCTTCCCTTTTAGAATATGTTGTCTACCATATAATGACAAATAAATACCTTTTTATCCCACAAGAAAAGCATTTAATGACTAACAGAAGATGTTGCATACATTTCAAAACTACTATCCTCATACAGAAAAAAAATGTTATCTGACTCTGACAGAAGAAACCTCCTTTACTCACTCCTAGAGGCTGTGTCAAAAGTTGGGACAATTTCAGTCAGTCTGTCAGCTTTACTCCTCCGCTCTTCACAGCTTGAGGACACTGTGGTCCCATGCAAGAGAGATACCGTGAAGCTTTACCTAATTCTCCTTTGTTCAGCAACTATTATATTCTCCTCGTGTATCAACCTAATGGTAAGCATAGTTTAAAAAGTCATCAGAAAAGTTAGAAGACTTTCTAGATCCCTATGGTAGCTTTCTCCCCAGTAAAACGTTTAGGAAAATTTCTAGTTTTAGCACATGGTATGCTGGATTTAATATAATTAAATTTTTTTCCTTAGGAAAAGAGCGGAGTGCACGATATTTATCACTGTAATACCATTTTTGGAAACAGTCACTGTTTTTAATGTCTCATATTTTTTACAACAGAATGGACTTGTTTCCTATTTCTCAATTCCCTTCTCAATTTCAGGAGGAATCAATAATAGCAGAGGCATTACTTAAGAAAGATGTAACAAAACATCTAGGAATTTATTCTAACTCTCTATCAAACTTCAGAGAACTGCTTGTTTCCCATGACTATTACTATTTATTGTGATTACTCCTTCATTTGGAAGTCAAGTGGGTTTTTTTCTACTTGCCGTTTATTTTGCTAATGTAATTCATTGCATTATTTGCTAAATTTTCCCTGTAAAACATTTTGAATGAATAATTTTTTCCTAATATACATAATATGACAAATTATTAACCTTTTTCTTTTATCCCAAAATTAAAAAGCAAGACTTGCAAGTCTTCCAAGTAAGACATAAGTAAGTATTCCAAGTAAGGTATACTTGCTGAATAAATTAGAAGAAAAGGCAGAACAGAGCTATAGTTCAGTTACTCTATACCCTCTAAATTGTCTGGGACTCTACTTGGCTAAACCTACAAGTATATTCCAGGAGGAAAAAAAAAAAAAAAAAAAAAAAAAAAAAGGTCAAAATGAAACAGAAGAATTCCATGAAAAGGAGGATGAGCACAGAATGAACAATCAATATTATCTGATGCAAAGATACTATCACATCAGTATGACTTCCCAGAAATAATGCAGTTTAAGAAACAGATGACAAACAGTATCAAGATTACTAGAAAATAGTGTGCAAATATATTCTTGTTCTAGCATGGAAGCCATATTAAGCACATATCCCATGAAAATTCTGTCAGAGTGGTTTATTAAAATATTAATTAGAAAAGCTTTATCTGTAGAACCATTTTTACTTGGTTATTTTACATATCAACAAACCTCCTTGCAAGTCTCTGCAACATCATTATGCCTCCCTGTTTAGTAAAGCAGAAGCAGTCTGACTTTCCAAAGTAGTGTTGATACAATAGGGCCTAAAGGTTCCTGAGAGATCAACTATTTCTTGAGACTTCAACATTGAACAGAAGCATAAACTGATTTTCTTTAAAGTTTAAATCCTCCAAAACTTGCATTACATCCTCAATAACTTTGCATTTTTCTTGACACAGCCAAATAAAGTTTAAAGATAAAAATGAATCCAAGATTTCCTACAACAGCTTATCAACTCAGATCATAATAATCTTCTACCTCTATTTGCTTTGTATTATCCCAGGAAAAC